ATTCTTGCTTTTCTTTCCTAGTTTACTTGTAAGATTCAAGGAGAGGCTGCAGTTTGCGCCTCTCCCTGGGATGTTGTATGAACTCACTCTAAATCAGCTTCTGAATTAATAAATTTATTATCATTCATAAAAAAAAGAGGTGGAGTAAAAGGGGTAAGGTTACCCCAAAGAGTACAGAAATTACAGATGCACCCAATATAGTTGTTCCCCATTGAAAAGTTACTGTCATTCAGCCATTTGATTTTCTTAACCCCTTCTTGGTAGATCCAAGCTGCCTTCTTTACATCCTTCAATGAACAAATGACTTTGATCTTGTTCAACAACCAGCCTTTCCAGATTTTCATGTGTTTATGTTTCATTTTCTGTAAGATAGTCTAGTGACAATGACTTTGATCTTGTTCACCCCTTTCTCTGTTGAACAGCACCTAAATAGTTTTTATTTATTTATTTATTTTATGTCAATCAGTTGTAAAAGAGGTATGCTTTTAACAGTAAATGCCACCAGTGGTAAATGGATGCTAAGATCTCTCTCTCTCTCTCTCTTCTTCCCTCATGTGCACACATTTTTTTAGCTTAAGTACACAAATCTGGGGGTAGCTTTTCCCTGATTACCCACAAGAATTCAGGACTGAATTACATGAGGTGGCTTTCCTTGAATGTCCCCTTTTTTGCAAGTCTGCTGCTTGATTGCCTTATCTGGATGTACAAGTACCAATATGTAATCTTGCTTGCCTGGTAACGAGTTTACAATCTCTAATCAATGTTTGAATGCCATGGAAGCTCCATTTTGTTCATGAGGCAGTCAATGATTAGCTTGTGTACTGTGGTTTCTCCTGTTTCCTTTGCTGCCATGCTTCTGCTATGTTGATAACTGAGATTCCTAGGGACTTTTAACCTGTTGCAATGATCTGACGATTCTGACCCAGGTAAATAATCGAGAAATGGCTTTATTTATCTGCCTATATAATCTGTACAATGTAACTACAACAATAAAAATTGCAATCAATATGCATGACACTGAATTTGCCATAAATTCTGATTGGCATGGCCTTAGCTTTCAGTATCTACAATTTCCTGTCACTAGTGCTATGGTGCACCAACTGCATGTAATCATTAGTCACACAATTGTCAAATGTGAACTGTGTTTTATTCTGTGATGTTTCAAACGTGTTGGTATTAGGTTTTAGATGACCTACAAGAGGCAGTTTAGATACTATGTTATTAGTTGGAGGAGAGGCACGTTGAAGCAGAAATAGTAATTAGAATAATTTTGTCTGCAGCATTTTTTTATAATAAAATACAATTTATATAAAAAGGAAAAAAGAGAATACAAAGAAAAGTGACCAGAAGGTACTTGCTATGGACATAAGTTAACATTAGGGATCCTTGTATGTGGTCAAGTTTCAGAAGTCAAATTTGAGGTAATAAAAGATCCAATATAAATGGCTGCTTTTAGTGATATGAATGGAAGTAACACGAAGTGCCATTGTCAAATCTGAAGAGGAGAAAATCAGTTGTAAAAGGAAATTTTTAGAGCTGAATAGAAAAAAAAACTAAGGTGGCGTTTGATAAATTTGAATTCTGAAATCTGAAAAGTTAAAAAGATATTAAAAGTGTCTGAAATCTGAAGAGAGACAATGCTTTTCGACTTTTTAGAGGCTCTGAACCAACTGAGGGCTGGCTCGTTGGGGAATCCCACAACCAGCACTTTGGGGAAGAAGGGGGTCAAGGGGAAGCTATTAATGATGCATGGCACCGAATACGAAAAAAACCTTAAGCATCTGAAATTCCCGGATTTTACTATTTTACCCCTAAAATAGACTATTTGGTAATTTTGAATTCAATTTGTACTATTTCGTAAAAAATAAGTTATTAAATTCAAAATAATATTGAAAAATATGAATAAATTATAAAAAATAAAAATAATTTATTAAAATAAGAATAAAATTGAAAATACATATAAATTTATAAATAAGAAAATAAATTATTAAAAGTTAAAATAATAATGAAAATAGTAATAAAGTCCATGAAGCAATGAAAGAAATATTTAATAATTAGCAAATTAATATCTTAAAACTATTAAAATATTTAATAATTAATAAAAATTAAAATAATTTATAGAAATAAAAATTATAAAAAAAGAATTTTTTAAAATAAGAATAAAATTGGAAGGTATGTATAGGAAGACAGGGGAGAGGGTGTTAACCGCTGCTGCTGAGAGTTGCAGTGGCGGTGGCGGTGGCGGGGAAGATAGAGGAGAGAGATCACAAGCGGCTCATCACGGAAGAAGTGCAGATTGGTTTCCCTCTTTGCGCGGAATATGAACTCTACTGCAGAGGTCGAAGTCGAAGCTGCTGTTGAAGGGATAGTCCCATAACTAGTCTGTATCACCTTCGCCATTATGTTCTGGGATCAGCATTGACATTCCTGAGCTTCCCAACTGAAATTTCAGGTGTGCAGATTAGACAGCAGAGTTGGGGAGAATGTCGGGGATGGATCTTTGAGTTCCCTCCATGGGCACCGTGTGGATCTGTGAGTTTCCTTCGGATGGATCTGCAGATCTGTGAAGCAGAGGATGTTGAGAACATCGGGGAAGAAGAAGAAGAAGAAGAAGAAGGAGGGAGGGAGAAGCTTGCGCCGCTGGTTTGCCATCGAGTGAAGAAGAGAGAAAGAAGGGCAGAGGGAGAAGCTTGCGCTGCTGGTTCACCGTCAAGTGGAGAAGAAGAATGAGAGAAGGGGGAGAGAGAAGGCTAGAGGGAGAATGACGAGTGCGTTATGTCTTTTAACACGGTCTGAAACACGTCTGAGTGCGTTAAGTCACTGACTCGCCTCTTACAAGTTCAGATCTGAAAATGCATTTCAGATCCTTTTTTCAGATTCAAACCCAAACATAGGTGGTGTTTGAAAAGCAACATTTTCAGGCTTCAGAGGTCTGAAAAGTGTTATCAAACGCCACCTAATTGTTGTTTGTGACATCATGAATTAATGCTACTGGCTTACTGCACATAACATTCTTGTTTTGTTACTTTTCAGTGTTGGTCCATGATGAATGTTGCACTGCTTGCTCCGTTTTTTGCAGTTGAGACAAGCCAAGACAGAGATCGTATCTGCTAGCAAGGTGGCATACCGATTCCTTATGGGTATCAATGCCAATTCGGCAGTCACTACCGAGTCCCCAAGCAATTCCAGTAGAGGGAGTCCCAGATTTCAATCTACGTGGCTTAAAAGCCTCGTGTCTATTGGCAACAAGCCATCGAACTCTGAACTGGAAAACGAGGGTGAAGACACACTTCAGCAAAGGCAACAACCGCAACCCACAGAACCACTACGGCAAAGTTCACGACAAGATACGTGAGGATATAGCTCTTTAGTAGGCATCAATGCTGCAATGTACTAGTCGTCATTGGAAATTATCGATTGCCATTTGCCAGTGGCATATGCCATCCATTCTGGACGCTGTAAAATTTTAATTCCTCGTCAATGAAGTGTTCCGATTTGAAATTGTAAACATATCAAAATATTAGATACATGAAAGATGATGTCCTGGATATCATAAACAGCGCTTGATGTAAATCAATGATTTCTCAACATTTTGGCTTCCCCGCTTTCCTAAAATAGGTTACTTGGTTAGAATACAAGCGATGTGAGCTTGATCTGTATGGAGTATTGGCTGCTTTGCTTATCCTAGACATTATAATATCTGCTTTCTCTTTGTTAGAGGTTTCCTTTTCCCAAAGCGCCTCTATCGCCAAGTACGGCAACAGGAAATTCATTGACCTTATGCGGATAAACCACCTCCGTTCTTGCAAAAACTTCTTAGTGTATGTTGACAATATCAAGTGATTCCTTCAAAAATCAATCTGAGATTGGTTGAATTTGTGCAAGTATTTCTATAATTCCATTTATAAGTCAGTTACATATGGCAACTCTCCAGTTTCATGCATGCGAAACAGCCAAACTTTCAAACGTAGAGTTTGGCCCCGTTAAACTCCCCCCATTTCATATTTTCAAGTTAAAGAAATAAAAAAATGGAAATAATAAGTTTGAGTTTGACCACCCAAATTGAGAAAAATAAACAAACCGTACTCTTTTCGTCTTTGACCAGTGGTGGAATTATTGATAAGAAATCTCTTTCTTGTTCAATAAGAGTTCTCTGCAACATTTTTTTTTTCCTTTGCTTATCGTTGCTTCTTCATTTGAAGACCCTGCTTTACTCCAATTGAAATCTTGAATCCGGCTTCAGACGCAAGTTTGCACCTTTCTTGGTCTCCTGTATTGATAAAAGAACAACTCATTAATTATGATGGCTACTATCTCACCCATCCAAATGAGAAAACTGGATTTTCTGTAGGAAAAAAACGATTGCAGACTAGAGCTCCTATTTCAATCTCTTGTACTGAAAAAAATATCTCATCAAGCTTGTCATATACACATTTCTCCTTCGACGCTTTTTGTTCTTGATATTCTCCCATGCAACACATGTGCATATGGCACACAATATTATTCTAATTTAAGACATTCAAAAATATTCAAATATTCAGTATATACATAATTGATTGAGTTATTGAACAAAATATAATATATTTTAGAGAAAATTCTTGATAAATACCTTGTGACAATTTAGTATTGGAATTTTTAAAATGCAGTAATCTAGTACTTGACATCAATTCACCGTCAGTCAGAGCCATCACGTGACAGCATGTACGGTTTGAATAATTTCAATATAAGAAAAATATCATTTATGACATTATTCAGAACATTTTATCCTTTTCCTTTATATGTTAAAAGAAGGGAAACTTTTCCCTTTCTCTTCATTCTCCGTTGAAGGCACAAAGCTGGTTTCTTCACTCTGAACACCCGCAAGGCTCCATTGTTGGACCATGTTTTTCAATTTGCCATTGTATTCAAATTAATTATCTAATCTATGAAGTGCCAATGGGCAATGGTGACAGAACTAAGGACTCAATGGTCAGTGTCCAATAATGAACATATGTTGAGGACTTAATGGTTCAGGTTGGAACTCCCCAGGATGATACCAGTTCCATTGGTTTTTAGTCATTGAAAAAAGAGTAATTTGCTTAAAAACACATGGGATTTGAAGAGGGACTGGTCTTGTAAAGGGTCGGGTCCAATCCGAAGTGTCTTAGACCTGGCAATTCGGTTGGGTGGGTCGGGTTTGGGTTGGGTCAAGACACTTCGGATTGGGTTAGCAAATGCTGGGCCCTAACCCTAAATGTTTGGGTTAGAATTGACCTACGGGTCAATTTGGGTCATCCCTAAAAATAACTGAAGTTTTAAAAAATAAAGAAAAATACATGAAAATATCAAAATTAAAAGAATTAACCTTAAAATTTCAAACATAAATAAAAAACTTAAACTTTTAACAATTCAAAGAGTAAACAATAAAAAGTAATGATTAAATAGTACAGATTAAAATGTGGAAAATTCTAACAATACATAAATAGTCCCAATTAGACTTGGCAATTGGGTCAGCGGGTTGACCCATGACCCAACCCAATTTTTTCCGGGTTAGGTCAGATTGGGTCATTCTCAACTTTAAGTAGCTAAATATAAAACCCTAACCTTGTTTTTTCGGGTTGGGCAGAGTCGGGTTCACTTGTTGTTGACAAGTCTAGTGTCCACTTGTAGTTTAATGGGGTCAAATCGAGTGAAAAAAATCCGAACTCCTAATTGTGACAAGTTCATTGAGAGGAATGTCGGTTGGATCATGGGTTTATGTAATCGCTGAGATGGGGCAAAGAGTTATAGGTACAATGGTACACAATAAGCAGCATCGTATCGTATGGTTAGGGGTTTAAGTTGATCGAATTCGAATTTGATTAAAAAATTTGATATCCAATGGATATTAAAAATTAATGTCTAAATTTGAGTTCGATTAAATATTGAATTCGATTTAATTTGAATTCAATCAATTAATTATTTTAGGTAATAAATAAAATAAATATTTATATAAAATATATAAATATATAAATTATTTATATAATCTAATTATTATATATAAAAATCATATAAAATATTTAAATATTTTATATTATATAAGAATTAAATAATCAATTATTTATCGAATTGAATCAGAATTATATCCAAATTCCACGGATTCTAATGTTTGAATTATATTTTATAAAATATTTAAATATTTTATATTAAATTATCCGAATTCAATTCGAATATAAAATATTGAATTCGAAATCGGATATTACCATTGACATCCCTACGTACGGTGCTGGTTGGTTTTTCTTTGAATTATCCGTAAGGACGAAGGTCAGTGTAAGTCTACTAAAATTTAGACAGGGAGCAAATCACATATGTTTCACCTTATTTAATGAAAAACATAGCTAAAATTTAATGAAAAACATCGGTGGACTTGTTCTGGGCTCCCTCTCCCTCACTGTCATACTCCTTCCCCTCCACAAGATAATAACAAATAAAAGTTAAATAGTAGTCTGTGTTAGCTACACATTAATGGGTAGGCGTTAAAGGACAAGCCCATGGCATTGAGTCATTTATGCACCGGCAATTGTTAGGTGGGTGGAACAAGGAGAGATGAGATTCAGTCACTGCAAGGCCCATTCAAACAACCATATAGCCCATGAAATAAAGCATAGAGAGATGTTTCCGATGCAAGGCTGAAAAGGCTGTTCAAAAAGTGTTTGAGCGGGCCTTGCAGTGACTGAAGCCGATCTCGAACAAGGAGGAGTTGGAATTCAAATTGCATTGAAGTGTTATTCCATTGGTCTCAAATAAAAGTGTAAATCAGGCCGTGCCATCTGTGGGCTGGGCTGGCATGGCACGACCGAGCGGGCTGTGCTGTTCACGGCCCAACCTACATCATGGCCTGTGGCATGGCCTAGTACGATCCATATATATTATTTATATATTATATATATAATATTATATTATATAAATTATAATTATATAATAATATAGTATATAATATATTAATAAAATAACTAATTGTTTTCAATTTTGTTATACTAATTTATTTAATTATTGTATATATCAAAATTCATATAAAATTAAAACTTTAAGTTTTTTTTTTAATTTTTTTAAATAAATAGCTTTGGCCCGATCCATGGCTCGGCCTGGCCCAAGGCTTGGCCAACAGCCAACCTGGCCCGCGGCATGACACAGCACTGCACGGGCTTGGGCTGTGGGCTGTGCTGGGCTGATCCCCCAAGTTATCCCAGGGGAGGGCGGCACAGCCTGTGGGCCGACATGACCCGTTTTACACCTCTAGTCTCAAATCTAAATGTCTGAAAAGCAAAAAATCTAAAAATAGGCCTTTCCCTCGTAGTTGATTATGAGAATGGATATTTATATTTAGGGGGTATTAATTGGACGGAATTTGGTCCAATCCAAATGGTCCAATAAATCCATTACAGATAGATCATGTAAAATCCAATCTGGTAAATATTCTGGACCTTTTTGCATCACTCTAATGTTGGACCGTTCAATCTGTTTAAATAAGTTTTAATTTAGATTGGTTTCAATCTAAATTTGGTCAATTGACACTTGTACTTTATCTTCTATTAATGAATGGATAATAATATTTTAGCCATTTTATATAATAAGGAAATGGTGTACGGAAAGAGCCCTTAGAATTCACAAATGAAATCTTTGGGCTCTTCTCCATTTGTCATCACATGCCCAACATGTGTGAAAATTTAAATGTAAAACCAACATGTAAAACCCAATAGGAGATGCATGTGTAAAAATCAAAGTATAAAACCCAATGTTAAATGTAAAATTCAATATGTAATTAAAATCCAATGGGAGATGCTTGTGTAAAAACCAAAGTGTAAAACCCAATCTCACCTTATTGAACCATCATATTTCTTTAACTCTCCTTTAAAAACCTTATTTCATTGAATTTTCTATTAATTACAAAAGGACCATTTAAAGCAATCATGGCATCTTTTTTAGTTATGCATATGACATTAAGTTTTTATGTAATTATAACATTGTCACAAAATTGTTATTACTCTCTTTATACTTTTTATTTATTACCCCTCTCTCTCTAGGGTTGTCAATGGTTTAGATTGGACCTGATGGATCCAAACCAATTGGGTCAATTCGGATTCGGTTCCTGATATATTGTTTCAATTCTTATTGAATCGGAGCTTGTTCTATCCAGTCACGAATTATAAATATATTATTTATATTGCATTTTTGTAAATAGTTGAAAAGAGACTTGTAGTAGTTTTTGTTTTTCTTTATTTAAATTGTTATATTTTAATAATTTACTAGCGGGCACCCATGTGATGTACAGGATTTATTAAGCGAAAGCTAAACAATAGAAAGAGTCATTTACTAAAATACCCCTTATAGTTTCATGGATTTATTAAAATCTACCCTATAGTTAGCATTTTACTAAAACACCACTTATAATTTGCAATGGATTTAATCAATCTTCCATTAGATGATAGTGGAAAATGATAGTGTTGACCCTAATGCCGATTTAAATAAATTTAATCAAAAGAAAATGAAAATAATTATAAAATACCATTTTTGCCCTTAATAAGACATAGACAACTACTCTATTGGCTATATTTAGTCAATTTTGTTTTATGTACAAAAAAGTGCTAAGGGTATTTTTGAAATAAAAAATTATGGGCCT